AGCTTTTTTTATTGGTGAAGTTGATAAGGTGATTGCAAAATTCATAGACACACAAAGGACCAAAAAAACTCAAAACACCTATGAAAAAAGGAAAAGAATAAATTTGGAGGACTAACATTGTCTGACTTCAAGACATCTTATTAGCTGCAGTAATCAAGACAGCATCACATTGGTATAAAGATAGAGAAAGAAATCAATGTAACAAAATAGAATACAGAAACAGACCTACAGATATATAAAGATATGTATACACACATATAAAGATATATATACACACACATAAAATATACACACAAAGACACATACACACATATATAAAGATATATATACACACATATATAGATACATATACATAAATATATGTGTACATACACATAAAGATATAAATACACACATATGTATGGACAACACATTATCTACAAATGTACAAAGACAATCCAGTGGAGAAATAATCGCATTTTCAACAAATGCTGCTGGAACACCTAGATATCCATATGTAAAAAAACCTTGCCATTAGTACCATATTAAAACAAAAAAACAAAAAAAACAAGCATATGAAAAAAAAAACTCTGAGGGAGTGAACAGGCAACCTACAGAATAGCGAAAATTTCTGCAATCTACCCATCTGACAAAGGGCTAATATTCAGAATCTACAAGGAATTTAAATAAATTTACAAGAAAAAATTAAATAACCCCATCAAAAAGTGGGCGAAGGATATGAACAGACACTTCTCAAAAGAAGACATTTATGCAGCCAACAGACACATGAAAAAATGCTCATCATCACTGGCCATCAGAGAAATGCAAACCAAAACCACAATGAGATACCATCTCACACCAGTTAGAATGGCAATCATTAAAAAGTCAGGAAACAACAGGTGCTGGAGAGGATGTGGAGAAATACAAACACCTTTACACTGCTGGTGGGACTGTAAACTAGTTCAACCATTGTGGAAGACTGTGGCGATTCCTCAAGGATCTAGAACTAGAAATATCACTTGACCCAGCCATCCCATTACTGGGTATATACCCAAAGGATTATAACTCATGCCGCTATAAAGACACATGCATGTGTATGTTTATTGCGGCACTATTCACAATCGCAAAGACTTGGAACCAACCCAAATGTCCATCAGTGACAGACTGAATTAAGAAAATGTGGCACATATACACCATGGAATACTATGCAGCCATAAAAAAAGGATGAGTTCATGTCCTTTGTAGGGGCATGGATGAAGCTGGAAACCATCATTCTCAGCAAACTATCACAAGGACAGAAAACCAAACACCACATGTTCTCACTCATAGGTGGGAACTGAACAATGAGAACACATGGACACAGGGTGGGGAATACCACACACCGGGGCCTGTCATGGGGTAGTGGGAGGAGGGAGGGATAGCATTAGGAGATATAACTAATGTAAATGACGAGTTAATGGGTGCAGCACACCAACATGGCACATGTATACAGATGTAACAAACCTGCACATTGTGCACATGTACCCTAGAACTTAAAGTATGAAAAAATAAAATAAAATAAAGTGGCCTAATGAGTTAAAAAATAAAAACCTCAAAATGAATCATAAATCTAAATGTAAAACCTAAAATTATAAGGCTTCCAGAAGATAACAAAGGAGAATGTCTTTGTAACTTTGGGGTAGGCAAAGATTTGTTAGATGTAATACCTTTAGCATGATCCATATAAAGAACAAATTAACAAATTGGACTACATAAAAGGTAAAAACTTCTGCTCTATGTATGACATTATCAAGAAAATAAAAAAAAAGCAAGTCACAGGTTAGGAGAAATATATGGAAATAAAATGTTTTATAAAGGACTTTTACCCAAAATATCTAGGGAGCTCTCAAAGCCAAATAATAAAAAAAATGCATGACTCATTAAAAAATCTGACAAAATATTTGAACAAGCACTTCACCAGCAAAATTATATAGATGGTAAATAAGCACACAAAAAGATGTTCAGCATTATTAATGAATTAATGATTAACAAAATGCAAATCAAAACTACAATGAGACACCACTATATACCTGCTGGGATAAATACAATTTAAAATACTGGCTCATGCTTGTAATCCTAGCTACTTGGCGGGCTGAGGTGGGAGGGATGCTTGAGGCCAGGAGTTCAAGAACAGCCTGGGCAACTTAGCTAGACACTATCTCTAAAAAATTAGCCAGGCATGGTGACACATGCCTGTTGTTCCAACTACTCAGGAGGCTGAGATGGGAAGATGGTTTGAGCCCAGGAGTTTGAGGCTACAGTGAGTTATGACTGTACCACTATACTCCAGCCTGGGCAATAGAGCAAGACCCTGTATTTAAAAAAAAAAAAAAAAAAAAAAAAAAAAAAAAAAAAAAAAAAGAATGACCATACCAAATGTTGGCAAGGATAAGAGGCACCCAGAACTCTCAAATACAACTAGGAGAAATGTAACATGGTATAGGCACTTTGAAAAACAATTATCTATATATGATCTATACATTCCTCTCTTGGCATTAGTACCTAAGAAAAATAAAAGCATTATGTCCATACAAAGATTTATATTTGAATGTTCATAGAAGCTTTATTCGCAATAGCCAAAAACTAGTAGCAACCTGAAAGTCCATCAACACGCTAACGGTTAAACAAATTGTGCTAGCTCCACACATGGAATGATGATCAGCAACAAAAAGAAAGAGCTATTGTTATACATAGCAACATGATGGAATCTCAGGATAATCATGTTGTGTGAAATAAGCCACAAAAAATTATACATACTATGTGATGCACATCAAATTCTTAAAAAAACAAACTCATCTCTAGTCTGAAAGCAGAACAGTGGTTGCTGAGGGTTGTTGGGTGAGACGGAACAAAGCAACAGACAGGAGCATGATGGAGGGATTACCAAGGGGCACAAAAACCTTTAGGGATGATATTGGATATGTTGATTCTCCTGATTATACTGATGGTTTCACTTACATATATATATATATATGTGTGTGTGTGTGTGTGTGTGTTCAAACTTCTCAAATTGTACACTTAAGCTATGCACAATTTACCATCCATCTCAAAGTTTTTATATAAAGTTGCACTAATGATCCAAGAAGGAGTAGTTTCTGCAAGAGGTTGGCTTATGACTAGGACATGGAGTGGTAGAAATTGAGCATAGACTACTTCTCCAACAAGCTTAGCTTTGGTTGTGGAGAGGAAGAGGGTGAGAGAGTGTCTGGCATAACCAGACAAAAGGTTGAGTTATGTGTTTAATATGGGAGGAGACTGAGAATATTTACATGCTATAGAAAAGGAGCCAGTGGAGAGAATGAAGTTGAAAATTTAGGAGTCAAAATTCAGCTGATGGAATACAGGATAAAAAGTTCAAGAAGAAAGATAAGTCTTGAATGTGAAGAACTGTATGGCTACAAAGGCAGGTACGTTTTCTGGTTAGGCTGACAGACACAGAAGTGGTCTGAAGAAGACCTTTCCTTTTCTGGGAAGGATGAAGTTCGGAAGGAGTGGGATACTTAAGAAGAATGGTGGAGCTTTGGAAAATTCATTGGCTACCACAGTTGAAATGGTGGTTAGAGATAAATGTTCAATCTTTGGGCATTCTTATATTAAGATGACAGACAATAAAATAGATTTAAGCAAATAAAATAGCTGTCCCTTCCACATGTGCACAGTTGATTATTATCCAACAGTCTTTTCTCTGATTTCTCTCTTTTTACCTCTAACCACATTTCACTCGTGATAATCTGTTGATCCTCACTTATTTTTCCCTCAATGCACACTAGATTTTTTAACCAATTCTTTCCTCAACATCATTGAGAAATACTTCTAACATACACATGAAATTCAGGAATTTAATGAACAGCTTTATTCAATCTTAACATGATACCATATTTACCTAAGTTCAAAAAAAGTTTCAACCAAATAAAAAGGTCCACGGCCCAAGAGAGATTTCATCATGGGCAAACATCAATATGCTCACTTACTTTTTACATTTCACAGATTTTATGAATAATGCCCAGAGCACCTCTGAGAACTCCAGGTATTACCGTGGGTAGGCAAAAAGCAAATATGGTCAGAAATGGCCACAGGCAAGCTAATTAGGTAGTTCCCCTGAAGTGAACTGTTAATATATTAAAGCCATGCAAATTAGATCATACCCACAGGTCCTAGGTTTGGAAAAAATGCTCTGGTAAAGTAGGAATTTTTAATAAAAATGATAATTATGACCCCACAGCACTGATAGTATTTTTCTCTAGTGTTCCAATTTTTGTTCCCACTTTGGCATTAGTAAATATAAAAAAGGTTAATAAAAAATATTTTCTGCACATCATGTAATTTTTCTGAAGCTGAAAGCATGCAGTTTCTAAAGACAAGAGTCATTTTTCTTTAAGCAGTAATAAATCATGCACTAAATCTAACAAACTGTTGGATAGTGTCAGAGGCGTGTGAACCAGAGCAACTCCATCTTAAATAGGAGCTGGGTAAAAATGAGGCTGAAACCTACTCGGTTGCATTCCCAGAAAGTTAGGGCATTCTAAGTCACAGTATGAGACAGGAGGTTGGCACAAGATATAGGTCATAAAGACTTTGCTGATAAAACAGGTTGCAGTAAAGAAGCTGACTAAATCCCACCAAAACCAAGATGGCCACGAGAGTGACCTCTTGTCGTCCTCACTACTACACTGCCACCAGCGCCATGACAGTTTACAAATGCCATGGCAACGTCAGGAAGTTACCCAATGCGGTCTAAAAAGGGAAGGCATGAATGATCCACCCCTTGTTTAATATATCATCAAGAAATAACCATAAAAAGGGGCAACCAGCAACCCTCGGGGCTGTTCTGTCTATGGAGTAGCCATTCTTTTATTCCTTTACTTTCTTAATCAACTTGCTTTTGCTTTGCACTGTGGACTTGCCCTGAATTCTTTCTTAGACAAGATGTAAGAATCCTCTCTTGGGGCTGGATCAGGACTCCTTTCCTGTAACAATAGTACCTGCCAAAACAGACTGTGTGCATCTCCTCTCAGAAGTTCAACCGTATCCCCGGCCTGGAGGTGTAAAGGGGGTCCTTCATGAAGAGCTGGGGGTGGTGTTCCAGAATAGTTCCTAATGACCTGCATCTTTGGTAAACCTGAAAATAAGCCAAACAAGTTTTAGAATTGAAAAAACAATGATGTGTGAAGTCTACATGTACTTTACAAAAAAAAGCCATTATTAACATTAAAAGTGTTAATACCACCAAGTCCAAGTAAACATTTTAAGTAACTACAATAGAATGCTTTTCAACTTTCTCATTATATGAGAAGGTAATAGAATAAGACACATATTTATCCCGTGATCTCTGACATACTTTTCCTCTCCCTTACCATCAATCTCTTTTTAGTTGAAAAAATATTTCTCCTTCAGCTGATACCTGCTTCATAAAAAACACATCACGTACAGTTTAATGGAAAAGAATCAATTTTTTCAACAACTCTATCCTTTCTGCCTATTACTTTCCTCTTGGGCACTGGCTGATTTCATCACTGAGGAGGCTCACCCTTTCTGTGTATGTATCACATTGCCCAGTATATGGATCATATCTTAAGGTTATCTTTGTAATTCAAAAGCAAAAAGGTGATGGATGGGCCACTGCAATACTCAAGACATTTATATGGAGAAACTCTTCAGGCTCAAATTTAGGCTTGCAAAGCAGACCCAATAAAGGGAACATGTCTAAGCCAATAGCACCAATGATATTTGAAATACAGATCCATTCCTTCTCTTTGTATTTCTTTGAATGCACAATGAAGGCCTCAGTTCAATATTTCATTTTTGAGAGAACAGCAGCTTCAAATGAACATGGGTCTAGGTGCAGCAATACTGGTCACAATGAACAACCTCACAGTCACTTATTCGTTTACAGGTGAAACTGCTCCCAGCTAAGAGAAGTCCACTCATAAACATGATATTTTTTGCACATTAAAGGACTGAAGCCTTTATTATGCTTCAGAACTTTTTATTCTAATGATTAACCATGGTGAAGCTGTAACTGGCTGAAAATGCTGCACTAAACATATAAAGAAGGATGAATGACTGTCATTCGGTTCTAGATGTCTAAGTTACCTAGAAAAATCTCAAAAGCTAAATGAAATGCTTCAGCAAACAGTTTATTAAAGTCCTCAAAATTCTTTTGAACAACCATGCCAGAGGGAGAAAAACAAGTGTGGTTATAAACTGAACAGACTAGAAAAGTTTTAGTCAACACTTGTTTATCAATCCACAATCAGGAGGCAGAGGTTGAAAAACACTGTGCCCTTCACCCCAGTTTAGCTGCTGGGACTGCTGAGGCTTGTCAGGAGTTGCTACATCCTCCTTTGCTTCTGTTCTTGTGCCGCAGAACCCCCAGAGGGATGATTTTAATCTCACATTCAGGGAGTATTTCCCTACCAGATGTCATAAGGTCTCACCCTAACAGCAACAGCAGATTTCATTGACTTTCCCCTGAACAACACTCTATAAGAGAACTCCTCTCAGGTAAATGTTTAACAGACTTGCTCTCAATAAACTGCAAATGCCTTTAGTATACAGAGTTTATTTTACACATTCTATTAAGTTGCTACTGCTAATTTAAAATGAAACCTAAATATCCCATACACACAAGTGATTAAGAACTCCAACAGGTGGAAGAGGATGTAATGTAAAGCAGAATAATTTTTTAAATGGAGTCTGGTTTGCATGATAGTTAACTCCATGTTTAAGGGAGAGAACTGCAGTTCACCTCTGTTTTATTGAGCACATCTAGGGCAAGGAAAGCATCTCATTTGGTAGACTGCCTGGGTAATTTTGTTTTTCTGACAGTTTTAAATAGAGGCGGAAGTCAAGAAAGAATATCTTTTAAACCTCAAACAACTGATGTGGCCTCAAATACGGGGGCCAGTCCTGAGCCCTGGCCTTCACTGAGGTTTTCCATTGCCAAGAGCCACAGGGATAAAGGCGAGCAGCGCCATGTGACAAATGATGGAAAGAGCAGTTCCTTTATTGTCAACATGCCCAAGTCAATCATTCTTAAGAAGAAACAACTGAAAATTCATAGAGTGTTTAGGAAAAAATTAACTTTGATGGCATTTCACCACCCAAATATATATTAGGAATTAAAATACAGAAATGCCCAGGCTCCATAAGAGGCTGTAAGGTGTTAGGGATGGAGCAATGCTGTCTCATACGTCTTTTTGTAGATGGACTGGAAAGCCCACAACATGCCCATAACATGTAAAATTTAACATTACGAAGGGTACATACACTAGTATACTCCGGTCAAGTAATAGGACCTAGCTATGCTACAAAGTAGGAAAGATATACTGCTTTTCTAGTCCCACTTATTCCTAAGTGTTTTATTTACTCTGTCTTTTCTGGTATTGCTTTCTTCTTGGTCATGAGCTTCATTTAGGAAGTTCACCTAGTAGCACACTACTATAGGTATGTTGCTGACCTCATCCCCAAAGCAAAAATGTGTAAACCCTGCCAAGAATTATGCTTAAGCCCAGGTAATACCCACTAGGACATTGTTATTAACCTCTATTCAGCCATCATCAACTTACAAAGTACAGTGTTTCTTCAACTCATACGGTTTGTTGCGGAATGGGTTGTGAGTTTATGATATAATGGAATTTTTGTTGCTGCTGTTGTTGTTTTTTTTGGTCATTTGTTAGGGTTATCTTTGGCAATTTATTTCAGATAGTCAGCACTTCCCATTTCAGCATGATCTGTTGTCAGGAGTACAGAGATCAAAGGATAAAAGGAATGAAACAAGGGCACAGCGATATAATGAATTCCGACACCTTGCCCTTTGCTTCTGATTTTAGCATATAGTAGGTGTTCTACATTACAGGTGGGATAAATGGTTGCTTTCCAAAATGTCCTTTAATATTCTTCCTCTTATGAAAAAGGCACCATTACATTGCTAAGGACGTGAACACACTTGCATTAACTGAAAGATAAAAAATTGCAATTAAAATAAGAGGAAATGGCTTAAACTTGACGTCAGCACTCAATCATCAATACAATTCTTAACACAATTTACTGCCACAGCAGGCATCACTCTTCACAAATGAGATCAAGAATGGAGAATAAATTAGACTTACAGATGTTTATATTTCGAACAGCCATTTAGTATTAATTTAATGTAGGTTTTCTTCTTCCCTTAGAAAATATGCCTCTGATAGGTTTTAACCTCTGTTTAAAAATGTCCAGGGCAGAACATTTACCACATGTCCCCATGACAACTCAGTTATTGTTGCATAGAGTTTATTAATAAGGTCTTCTTGAAACTTACTTAAAAATCTCTATGTAACTTCTCTCCATTGACCTACTGCCTTCCATCTGGAATTATGCTGAAGGCAGCAAATCTCCTTTTCATAGACTAGTCTTTCAAAATTTGGTCAGGCTTAAAATCCCCAGTTCCTTAAAAAACTCCATATTTTTCCTTGGCTACCACACTTCAAGGGAGGCTGAGGTGCAAAGTAGTGTACACTACAAAAGTTGAACTCTAAATTTCCTCACTGACAGTGATTAATTGGAAACAGACAGTCATATTCCTTAAAAAGGGACAAGAAATACACATTTCATTATATTATAAACCCACAACTAATCCCAGAAAGTTGCTTCTCTCTTCTGGGGAAAATATAGACCCAACAATTGTTTAGTTTCTCTCCACTCCAGAACTTTATTTACAACAGACATGTTAGCTGAGTTACAGTGTTGCTCACCCAAATCTGAATATTTATATTGCAACTACCTTCAGACATTAAATGCAAAATAGTCACATGTACTTTCAACATATGTATTTGGGCAATCTTAGAAGTTCCTAAAACTTTTATGTAATCAATTATAATTATCCAAGGGAATATGATTAAAATACTAAGCCAAAATTAGATCTCCTGCCAGATGTTTAATTATTTTACCTTGTTTTATCCCCACAACAAAAGCTTTGTTGTACAGCTAACTATGCCCTTAATATATAACTTGACAATTTTGCTCATTAACTTTTGTTCACACTAGTACTTGTGCTTGGTCTTAAATCAGACAAGATCCCCAAGTCAAACTTATGCAGGAGGAATTAACAAACAAATTAGCAATATTAAAATGATAATTATACTCTACTAATAGTCATGTGTTTCTGGTTGAATAAAACTAAAGCTACAAGTAGGTACATAGAATGCTTCAGTTTCCCAAAACAATACAGAAGTGTTTTTAAAAGGGAGACCTGTAACAAAATTTCCTTTCAAATCTGAATTCAGTACCACTAAGAGTGACACAGGCCAAGTGACACATGTACTTTTTAAAAAAGTTAATTCTAAGTAGAATCGTATTAGAAAATTTTCTAGATATAAACTGTTTCACTAATAATTTTCACATAAACTGTCAAACTTCAATGAACTGAACAGCTAATTGTAGGAGTATCAACCACTGTGTCTTCTAAGCAGGGCAAGAAGAGCGATTGCTACAATATAGATTAGTATCTATTCATGATGCTGATATCACCGCCCTAATGCAATGGGCTTCCCCGAGGCAATAACTTAGAGGAGAGTGCTGCCGACTAGATAAATGGGCTGTCAGTAATATGCTAGCCTTTCACCTCTGAGGCCCAATTTAAAATCTAAACACAGCCACATTAAAAAATAATTAGTTTTACAAGATATCAGAAAATGTAGATGGTTTATCCTGGGAAACTGATCACAAGCATAACATATTCATTCATTCATCAAATGTGACTTCAGCATTCCATAAGTGCTAGGCATGGCAGTTTCAGAGGAAAGCAAGGGAAAGTATCCTGCCTTCAAACAGCCTATAGTCAGTCTATGGAATAGACAGACAGGTGAACTCTGAGATAACAATACAACTGGGCATGGACTTCCATCCAGAGGGAACATTAAAAAAAAAAATGTTCATATCTATAAAAATTTTAGGAAATTTTCCTTTTATAATTCTTGGTTAAGACCCTAAAATGTGTACTTTATTTTTTCTATAAATTTCCTAGGTGTGACATCCAAACTCTAGCCAAGTTTGAGAATCACATTCTTGTGGGTACATGTGCAAAACACCATGACCAACACCTACCACTGCCAAATTTGTTTTTGAGAAAATTACCGT